GTCATCTTCGACAACGAAGGACGAACAACAACAACATATTGTTTGGGCAGGAGACACCAGTCTCTTATTTAAACTCCTCAAGTTTCAAAATGTATGAAAACATAGCTAGGGTACAAGCTCCTTTGCTTCTTTGATGTTTATATAAAGGAAGGCATCCCCACACCGTTGGAGGGTTTCCGTCGATTTAAAACGAAGTGACACATAAACAAATCCTCCACGAAAATATCCGCGCAACGCGCGAGCAATATACGCGGACGAACTAACTGGGTACTATGTCTGAAAATAACTTAAGAGAGATTCCCTTAGGGATGAGGCCTATATGGGGATTCACTCTCTTACTTTGATAATCTCTTGGTCACAGTTAAAAACCTTTACTATCTACCGGTCTTTTCTGTTTGATAACTTACCTTCCCTTCCTGATAATGTCTTTTGGTCAACTTTTGCTGCCATGGAGTTAAATTCATTTTGCCCCTAAAGTAAAAAAAAAAATCGATATCAGTAATATCTGTTAGCTAAAAGTTAGATCTAAATGATAACTTTCGTTGTTAGTGCACGTTGCCTCTAGCTTAAAAGATCTCGTCTACACCCTGCCATGATTAAAAGTCTATTTCTACCAGAAATTAAAATGCGGTGTATATCTTGTAACAGATATTAAATATCTTTTATCCGATATCTTTTTCCTAGCAATCGCCCTATTTCCCTTTCTCGTTTTGAGGTAGCTACACGTAGCTTAAAAGTTATTGCAAATGAACGAGGGTTTAGAATTTGTGACACACCTCAGTGCTTCGTTCTTCAAAGTCATTTCTGGCGAGAATTCCTTCTATGTTTGACAACTCTTGCGTCAATGCCGGGACCTAAAAACAACACAAACGGGGTTGAAAATTGAGAAGAATGTGGTGACAAGAAAAAAAAAACATACCGTAAAAATTTCAAATTCAATTTCTTAGAGGAACAGAAGTCTTAAGAAATGAACCCTGAAAATCTTGGCACACTTCATCCGGTGTGATTACCTCAGCTGTCAATAGTTTACCCCCAAGCCTTGTTAACACGTAGTTCGTTTCAAAGCTATGTCAACTTCGCTTTATTTTCATTTGGGAGGCTTTCGGAACTTGCTGACAAGAATAAATTACTTTCGAGTTATTCAAAGTCCATTACGTTATCGCTTATGACAGTAACGTGAACACGGAGACATGGGGACTGAAAAGATCAGTATTTTCCCTTATGTCGCTATTATGGTATGTATAATGCTGCTGTTATGTCATTATGTCAGGATGTCCACTCTGCAAACATAACGAGTACATAACGTCCATCTTATGTCGTTATGTTTATGTCGTTATGT